CAGGAGGGTCAGCAGGACCATGTATACCCATGGTGCGTCAGCGATGTTGCTGCACACCCTCCCGTCCCAAGTCCCCTTCTCACAAGTTCCTGCAGTCACACGTTTTCACTCCGCGATACTCTTTCCTTTACAGTTCAGCGCGCACTGGGTTTGCCCATCAGGCGATAGCCCATGTTTGAAATCAAACTACTCTGCATCCTTCGACCTGTTTAAAGAGCAGCGGATAGGTAGGGTCCGAACGTTCAAGGAAGTATCCAGCGAGAGTCCTGGTTTGGAACAACACCATTTCAGGTTAGAAGGTTCGGATCGGTCTCGAACGATATCTCCGTTTTGACAATGGCCCGCCTTCGTACGTGTAAGTGTTGCGCACGTCCACACTTCGGATCGCAAGCGTGATCAACATGCCCCTCATCTTTCTATCCGGAAGAAGCTTCCAGGACCAATGCGCGCGCCGCGAAGACAAAATCCGCATTGTTGAAAACAGTTCGCCCCTCATCTGTGAGTTCAAAAGACGAGCGTGCGCTGCCTCAAAACTGGAGCCATCTGTTGAGCATCGTTTGCCCCTCATCCTCGTAGTTGCAGGAACATTTTTCGACGAATGGGCATGGCGTTAATAGGTGATCTCCACATTTCGAAAGTTGTCCATCGTTGTAACAGTCATATTCCCAAGCTTCACCATCACAGCGGATGAGTCAATGTCAGGCGGTACGCCCAGCCAGCCCAGCCGACGCGTCTGGTGGTGCGACGAGGAGTAGTGCTCTATGGAGGAGGAGGAGGAGGAGGAGGAGGACGACGAGGAGGGCTGCAGGGACTGCAGCACACGGACTCGTGGTTCTTCGGACCCACCGCAAGAAAACGAACATGTCGGCCTCCAGCCGCAGCCCCTTCAGAGACGATCCTTCTCTCACGAACGACTCTGCGCTACACTGTGAAGGGATGCACACCCAGGCGGCCACCTTGGCCGAGTCCGATCGCAGAGGGTGATGACGAGGAGGAGGAGGAGGAGGGCCCGAATTGGAGGAGGAGGAGGAAGAGGAGGAGGAAGAGGAGGAGGAGGAGGAGGAGGAGGAGGAGGAGGAGGATATCCCAGGGCCGTGATGCACAGACAGTCCCCAGCTCGAGGCTCGAAGCTCGCAGGAGGAGGAGGCAGCGGAGGAGGACGAGGAGGAACAGGCGTCCTTGACGTCCTCGCCGCCGCCCCCGCCGTCGTCGTCGTCTGCCCAGTCGTCCTCCTCGTCGTCTTCCTCGCCCTGCTCGTCGTCGCGCTCATCCGCGCCTCTGCCCCGCCGCGCCTCGGCCTCGCCGCGCCTGCCCGGAGCCGGCCGGCCCGCCGCCGCGGGCGGCCGCCCCCCGTCCGGCGCCGAAGATGTCGCCGCCTCCGCCCCAAGACGGGGACTACTGCTCCAGCCCGGGCAGCGACGGAGGCTCGGGCCGGGCGAACGGGGGGGGATTGGGAAAGGGGGGGTTTACGAAATTCTTCACGCTTCGCGTATCCCCACCAGCCCATCTCAAAACAGCAAGTCTTGCGAAGCATGCCGACAGTCGTGTTTTTCAGGCGTGTTTCCGCCTGCCCCCGCATATCTCCCCTGTTCCTCCTTCCTCCCGCCTCCTTGTATATCCTCCTTGTGGTGGAGCGGGAGAAGGACGAGGCGGAGGAGGAGGGAGAGAAAGCGGTGGGAGGCAAGAGGGATTTAGCGGAGACGACGACCACAGCGATGATCCTAACAACGACGACGCACCCGACGACGACGACGATATCGACCGCGACGACGACGACGACCACAACCGCGACGACGACGACGACGACGACGTCGACGACGACGACGACGAAGGCGGCGGCGACGACGACGACGACGACGACGACGACGACTGGTGGGAGTCGTTGGGGCCCCTCGTGGGGTGAGTCGTTCGGCCCCATCGTCCTTGTGTGAGTCCTTCGGGCCCCTCTTCCTGGTGTGAGTCGTTCGGGCTCCTCGTGGTGTGAGTCGTTCGGGCCCCTGGTCCTGGTGCGAGCCGTTCGGGCTCCTCGTGGTTTGAGTCGTTCGGGCCTCTCGTCCTGGTGTGAGTCGTTCGGGCCCTTCTTCCTGGTGTGAGTCGTTCGGGCTCTTCGTGGTTGAGTCGTTCGGGCTCTTCGTCCTGGTGTGAGTCGTTCGGGCTTCTCGTGGTGTGAGTTGTTCGGGCCCCTCGTCCTGGTGTGAGTCGTTCGGGCCCCTCCTCCTGGTGTGAGTCGTTCGGGCTCCTCGTGGTGTGAGTCGTTCGGGGCCCTCGTCCTGGTGTGAGTCGTTCGGGCTCCTCGTGGTGTGAGTCGTTCGGGCGCCTCGTCCTGGTGTGAGTCGGGCCTCCTGGTGTGACGGTGTGAGTCGTTCGGGTTCCTCTTCGTGGTGTGAGTCGTTCGGGCCCCTCCTCCTGGTGTGAGTCGGGCCCTCGTGGTGTGAGTCGTTCGTCTGGTGTGAGTCGTTCGGGCTCCTCGTGGTGTGAGTCGTTCGGGCCCTCGTCCTGGTGTGAGTCGTTCGGGCTCCTCGTGGTGTGAGTCGTTCGGGCGCCTCGTCCTGGTGTCAGTCGTTCGGGCCCGTCCTCCTGGTGTGAGTCGTTCGGGCTCCTCGTGGTGTGAGTCGTTCGGGCCCCTCGTCCTGGTGTGAGTCGTTCGGGCTCCTCGTGGTGTGAGGCGTTCGGGCACCTCGTCCTGGTGCGAGTCGTTCGGCCCCCTCGTAGTAGTAGTAGTAGTAGTAGTAGTAGTAGTAGTAGTAGTAGTAGTAGTAGTAGTAGTAGTAGTAGTGGGAATAGTAGTAGTAGTAGTAGTAGTAGTAGTAGCAGTAGTAGTAGTAGTAGTAGTAGTAGTAGTAGTAGTAGTAGTAGTAGTAGTAGTAGTAGTAGTAGTAGTAGTAGTAGTAGTAGTAGTAGTAGTAGCAAGTAGTCGTATCCAAGGCAGTTTGGAGGCCTCTTGGAGATCGTAGAGGGGCCTCTTGGGCTCTCTTTTGAGCCTCTTGGGAGCGTCCGGGGGCCCTCTTGGGCGCCTCTTGGAGCGTCTTGGGGGCCTGTTGGGGCCATCTTTGGGGCGATCGATCACAGATGGGGCGAGCATTTTTGTCAGTACCCCCGTCGGGGCCACGATCCTCGTGAGGGGTGTCGAATTTTAGCCCTCCCAGGGATAGAAAAAGGACCCTCTGACCACCCGCGAAACCCCCTCTCCAGGTCCAGGGGGAGGGGGTAGGGGGAGGGGTAAACCCCTCCCCGAAGGGGAAGAAGGGGGTTGAGAACAGAGAGAGCTCGCTAAACCACTCACGCCCAAAGGGCTGGTGGGAGTAGAACTAGTAGTAGTAGTAGTAGTAGTAGTAGCAGTAGTAGTAGTAGTAGTAGTAGTAGTAGTAGTAGTAGTAGTAGTAGTAGTAGTAGTAGTAGTAGTAGTAGAGTAGTAGTAAGTCGTAGTAGTAGTAGTAGTAGTAGTAGTAGTAGTAGTAGTAGTAGTAGTAGTATTAGTAAGTAGTAGTAGTAGTAGTAGAGTAGATTAGTAGTAAGTAGAAGTAGTAGTAGTAGATGGTAGTAGTATAGTAGTAGTAGTAGTAGTAGAGTATAGTAGTAGTAAGTAGTAGTAGTAGTAGTAGTAGTAGTAGTAGTAGTAGTAGTAGTAGTAGTAGTAGTAGTAGTCGTCGTAGTAGTGTCGTAGCAGTAGTCGTAGTAGTAGTAGTAGTAGTAGTAGTAGTAGTAGTAGTAGTAGTAGTAGTAGTAGTCGTAGTAGTAGTAGTAGTAGTAGTAGTAGTAGTAGTAGTCGTAGTCGTAGTAGTAGTAGTAGTAGTAGTAGTAGTAGTAGTAGTAGTAGTAGTAGTAGTAGTAGTAGTAGTAGTAGTAGATGTCTGTTGGGAGCCTCTTGGAGGCCTTTTGGGGCGTCTTGGGGGCCTCTTGGCGGCCCCAGGGGCTTCTAGGAGCGTCTTGGGTGCCTTGGGGGAGCCTCTTCGGGCCTCTTGGGAGCCTCTTGGAGGCCGTTTGGGGCGTCTTGGGGGCATCTTGGCGGCTCCAGGGGCTTCCAGGAGCATCTTGGGTGCCTCGGGGGAGCCTCTTGGGGCCTCTTGGGGGCCTCTTGGGGGCATCTTGGGGGCCTCTTGGAGGCCTCTTGGGGCCTCTTGGGGCTCTTTGGGAGGGGTCTGGGAGGAATCTTGGGGCCATCTGTCGGGCGATCGATCACAGATGGGGCGAGCACTTTTCTCCCCGCCCCCTCGTCGGGGCCAGAATCTTCGTGAGGGGTGTCGAATTTTAGCCCTCCCAGGAGTAGAAAAAGACCCCTCCAACGACCCGCGGAACGCCCTCTCCAGGCCCAGGGGGAGGGGGTAGGGGGAGGGGTAAACCCCTCCCCGAAGGGGAAGAAGGGGGGTTGAGAACAGAGAGAGCTCGCTAAACCACTCACGCCCAAAGGGCTGGTGGGATTTGCAGCATATGCAGCTGGTTTCGGCCTCACCGAGGGTCCCATGCCTCGATACATGGCCGCCTCCGGCGCCAGGAGGCGCCGGGAAAGTCAGCTACGTGAGCTGATTCTCAAACCCCCCCTTTGCTATCCCCCCCTTTCGCCCGACCCGAGAGGCGTCTTCGACTTCCTCTCGGCGGCTGCAAAGGGTGAGGTTAAACGCCAGGGTCTCAGCTGCCTCGAGGCGCCCGTTCTGCTGCGCAGCACTCGCCGCGCTCAGAGCGTCCGTGTCGATGCGTTGCGTGTTGGCTCAACGTGTTGGCCATCGTTTTGGCGAGCGCATCGCGTCAGACCTACGTCGTTTTCAGTCTGCGTGTGGAGCTCCGTATCAATACGCTGCGTGATGCGTGCTGCGTATCGGGGCAGCTAAGGCCGGGGTGTGGTTTGCGGTCGGCGCCGTTGGGACCTGGGGGGCACGGCACTGTCCTCGTCGGGCCCCCTCGGGGCGCGGCGGAGAGCTCTGTCGGGGTCCATGCCCACCCCCAGGGTGCCCCGTAGGGTGCCAGTTGCAAACCACACCCTTTGCAAGCCATACCTTTCGGAGTCGCCGATTCTCGGCGACGCGGACTCGGAGGCGACCTGTTGGTCGGTGGCGGTGGACTCCGACGCGGGCGGCTCCGGGGCCTTCGGCCCCGACGCCTTCGCGCTCGGGGTGCTGGAGGCGCTGGCCGAGACCGGGGTGCTCGGCGACCTGCTGCAGGAGTCTCGGCCTCCCCGATGGGGTCCGAGCAGATGGGGTCGGAGGATCCCGCCGCATCACCGAAGCATCGGCGATGTGGCTCGATGTGGAGGCCGTGTTTCTCCACGCCGATGCATAGGCGATGCATTCCCAGACATCCGTCTGCTGCAATTCTTTCGATGCGTGGTCCCTGGAGGTCCAGACCACTTCCCCGGGGCCAGTTTTGCGTCCTGAGTCGTTTGTTGACGCTCCCGAGGCCCGGCGAGGGGCCCCCGGAGGCCGAAAGCTGCGCAAATCCCGCGGCCCCAACGTCTTTGGAGCGTCGGATCTCTAGGACACCGGCGATGCATTGGCGATGCTGCACGATCCTTGGGACCCCATCCGCTCGGACCCCAGCCCGGAGGCCTCTAAGGTTGAGTCGGGCCTGTCCCTCTCCAGGAGGACAACTCACGGGGACGATGTTCGACTATATTCTTGGGATTTCTTTTGGGGAGGTATTTTTTGACTGTTTCTCACTCTTCCTCCTCAATCCGCCTGCCCCACCCAACTCTAAGGAGGAGGAGGAGGAGGAGGAGGAGGAGGAGGAGGAGGAGGAGGAGGAGGAGGAGGAGGGAGGACATGCCCGACCCACCTCTAGGTCTCCCCGGCCACTGCGAGCGGCCACCCGGCGCCTGCCGAGCCCTCCCCGCACCCGCGCGGGCGCCCGCCGAGGGCGCCCGGCGCCGAGGCCCCGGGCCCGCCGCCCCCGGCGCCGAGCCCGCCGCCCCCGGCGCCGCCCCGCGCGGCGCCCGAGGCGGAGCGGCCACGCACCGGGCGCGCTCCACTGCGCATGAGCCTGTGTTTTTTTTGGGACTCAGGCAAGTTTACTTGCATGGCAAGGCGTTCGCCCCCCCCCCCCCCCCTCGCCCCTCTTCAAGCGAATACTAGCGTGCAAGTGCCTTTCGACTTGCGTGATTTCCGCGCCCCCCCCCCGGGCTTGCTTCAGGCTCAGCCCCCCCCCCGTCCATGCAAGTAAACTTGCCAGAGTCTAAAAAAGCAGGCTCCATGGCGCCCACCTCGCAGAGCGGATGTCGTTCGGAGAACGAGGGGGTGGGCCCGGAGCGCCCGGGAGAGTTTCGTGCCAGGTTTGGAGGTGGCCTCCGTGCGATCTTTTTTGGGGGGGCCAGGGGCGAAGACTGAAACAGATCCACGCGAAATTCACTCCGTTTTTCACTCGCCCTTTGAGGGCTTTGCATTGGCAGGAATCCTCGCGCAAATCCGCTGCAGCACTTCTGCAAGGGTGGCGCGCCGACGCTACTCGCAAAGTGCCTATACTCGCAAACGTCCGAAAAGCAGTTGTTCGTTGCGACGAGGTGTGTCGTAGATCCCACGCGAGGCGGAGCCAGGCCGTTTGCGAGCAGTTACTTCTTGCGAGCAGTGGAGCGCGCTCGTCTGGTCACGGCAGCCCTGAGATCCTGGCGTGGCAGTTGTCTTGCTTCACGGCGGGCGCTGTTTCGCCCCAGAGACCTCCGGCGCTCCCCCCAAAAAGTTGGAGCGGCGGTAGATTGTGGCAGCTCTCGGCCTCCGGGGGCCCCTCGCCGGGCCCCGGGAGCGTCCACAAGACGGCTCGGGACGAAATGCCGGCCCCGGGGAGGTGGTCTGCACCTCTGGGGCCCACGCATCGACAAAGTGACAGCAGCCGGATCAGGAGGAGAAAAACACACAGACACAATTCATGGGAAAATATAGGAAGTGCGGGGGAAGACGCAAATCCAGAAAATATAAGAAAATATGGGGAATCCTGGGATTTGTGTGTGTGTTTTTTTTGTGTGTGTGTGTGTGTGCGTGTGTGTGTGTGTGTGTGTGTGTGTGTGTGTGTGTGTGTGTGTGTGTGTGTGTGTGTGTGTGTGTGTGTGTGTGTGTGTGTGTGTCCCAGGGCCCTTTCAAGATAGGGTCGAGGGCGCTGGTCGTGATCTTCTGCGTCGTTGCAAGCTTCTGCAACGTCGGATCTCAGGGACGGGGGAGCTCTGTGGTCCTCTGGACCCCCCTGGGGGGCAGTTTTCGGCTTCGGCACCCCTCGCCAGGGGGGAAACGGGTCCTGAGGGAAGCGGCTCCCGAGATTTTTCGCCAGAGCTGTCAGAACACGACTCAGGCTGAAAAACTCGTCTTGGGGGAAGGCACCAGGGTCCAGGACCCTTTTCCCTCAGGACACGCTTCGCCCATGCTACTTAAACCCTCTCGGTGGTCGGCGAAGCGATGGGCTCCCCCAGGGGTTCGCTGCGCGAATTTGCCTGTTGTGGGTCGGCTGGTGTGGTGTTCCCAGATCGCGTGGTTTTCTTCTGATTCGCACAGTGGCGCATTCCGAGTCACGTGGATATTTGCGGTCGTTCTCTCCTGCTCTTGTTGCTGCTGTTGCTGCTGCTGCTGATCCTCCTCTTCTTTCATACGAAAGAGCACGTTGCAAGGACATTCTACTCCGCTTGACCTCACAGGAGCCCACGAAAGTCTCGACAGTTGTGCAGTTGGAAGCCTCTCAGGGAGTCGCGAGGTCTCGCCTGACTACCGCCTCCGCTGGACCTCCCAGGAGCCCACGTAAGTTGCGAGAGTTGCGCAGTTGGTAGCCTCCCATGGAGCAGCAGGGTCTCGCCTGACTACGGCCTCTACTGGACCTCCCATGAGCCCACGTAAGTGGCGACAGTTGCTCAGTTCGCTGCCACCCATGGAGACGCGAGGTCCCGTCTGACTACCGCCTCGGCTGGACCTCCCAGGAGCCCACGAACGTGGCGACAGTTGCGCAGCTCGCCATTACGAGGGAGGCACAAGGGAAGAGAAAGATGAGTCAAGAGGAGGGAGGAGGATCAGGATGAGGAGGAAGAGGAGGAGCAGCAGCAGCAGGAGCTAGGAGGAGGAGGAGACGCGACCGCAGTGCTCTATTCAAAACGAGAGCCCAGCACTGGAGGGGTGTAAGCAACTGATATTGTTGTAGCGGTCCTTTGCGCCAAAACCCTCCTCGGAGAATGGTAACGACCCTACGTAGAGGAGGTGAGGGGGGAGCCCGGACCCTCCCCCACATGCTGGAGCTCGCGCGCACACTGTGGCGATCGCAGCGCACCCCCGCCCCGACGTGCCCACCCAGCCCAAGCGTCAGCGCTACCCCGCCCCCCTCGGATGACGACCGTTACCGTGCTGCCGGGAGCGAAACAGCTGATGCGTCGGCAGCGAGGCAGGGGAAGGCTGCGCTGGCGGAAGGGCCTAAGCGGGGATGCCGTTATGGCGAATTGTGCCACCGTGCAAGCGGAGTGGGGGAGGAGGAGGGCGCGGCGGATCACAATCTCGAAGCGATGGGCGCCCCCCCCCCAGGGGGGGATGGAGCGCAGCTCCCCCCGCTCGTGGCCGGTCGGATAGAGGCCCCCGCGGCCCCCGCACGCCTCCTCCGCGCGGACGGCACCAGCGGCGCGGGGCTCCTGGCGGCGCTCCGGGACAAGGCTCGACCACAGCGTGAGAGGGAGCCGTCGCCGGAGGGGCCTTTGGTGCGGGCCCGCTGAGGCCCAGACCCCCTCGGGTCATGGAAGAATCATGGCGGGAAGTTTCTTTATTTTCGGCCTCTGGGGGCCCCCCGGGCCGTCAAAAAAACAACTCAGGATGAAGAACCGGTCCCGGGGAAGGGGTCGGTACCTCTTGGGCTCTTGGGGTCGACGGAGGGACCTTTGGGTGCGGGCCCACTGCGGCTCCCCTGACTCGAAGAAGAAAAACGACATAAGGAGAAACTTTTGGCGCTCCGCGCGGATTTCTTGGATCCGCGTTGGACCCCCCTGGCGGCGCCTCTGGTGTCAGTACTGGCGCGCTCCGCGCGCCAGCGAGGGGTCCCCAGCGCGGATCCAAGAAGTTTGCGCCCCGCGGCCCCCCTGAACCCGCGCACCAAAGGTCATTCTTGCCAAGCCTCCTCCGCCTCTTCCACCTCCTCTTCCACCTCCTCCCCCTCCTCCTCCTCCTCCTCCTCCTCCTCCTCCTCCTCCTCCTTATCCCCCTCCTCCTCCTCATCCTCCTCCTCCTCTTCCTCCTCCTTCTCCGCTCCTCCTCCTCCTCCTCCTTCCTGCTCCTCCTCCTCTCCGCCTCCCCCTCCTCTCCTCCTCCTCCTCCCTCCTTTCTCATTTCCTTATCCTATTGTGCCTTCTCTCCTCATCCTCCCCCCCCCTCCCCCTCCCCCTCCCCTCCAGTTCTCCTCCTCTCCTCCTCCTCCTCTTCGCCTCCTCCTCTCTCCCCTCCTCCTCCTCCTCCTCCTCTCCTCCTCCCCCTCGTCCTCCTCCTCTCCTCCTCCTTCTCCTCCTACTCTTCTCGTCTCCCTCCTCCTCCTTCCTTCTCCCCCTCCTTCTCCGCCCCACTCTCTCGTCCCTCCTCCTCCTCCTCCTTCCTCCTCCTCCGTTTCTCCTCCTCAATGCCTCGTCCTCCTCCTCCCCTCCTCCTCCTCCCTCCTCCTCCTCCTCCTCCTCTCCTCCTCCTCTCCTGCTCCTCCTTCTCCTCCATCATCCTCTCCTCTTTTTATCCGTTTCTTCCTCGTTCCTCCTTTTTTTTTATCTTTCTTTTTTTCCTCACTTTCCTCTCATTCTTCTCTTCCTCTTCTCTCTCCGCCTCTTCCTCATAATTTTCCTCTGCTCCCCGTCCTCCTCCTCCTCCTCTCCTCTCCTCCTCCCTCCTCCTCCTCCCCCTTCCCCCCCCTCCTCTTCCCCCTCCTCCTCCTCCTCCTCCTCCTCCGCCTCTCCTCACGGTTCTGTTCCTCCTCCTCCTTCCTCCTCCTCCTCCTTCCGTCCTCCTCTTCTTCCGCCCTCCCCCCAACATTTCCCCCTCCTTCTCCTTTCCTTGTTTCTCGTCCCCTTCTCACTCCTCTCCTCGTTCCTCCTCCTCATCCTCTCGTCCTTTCCTTTCGTCATCTCTGTCAATTCTCCTTCTCTTCCTCCTCCTCCTCTTCCTCCTTCTCCACCTCCCCCTCCTCCTTCTCCTCCTCCTCCTCCTCCTTCTCCTCCTCCTCCTCCTCCTAGCCCCTTTCCCCCTCTGGGGCCAGGGGGGTGGGCTCGCGCATCTTGAAAGGGGCGCAGCTGGCGGGCCCTTGCCGCGATGGGGGCCTCAGCATGAGGCTCGAGATCAGAGCGCTGAAGGAGGCCGTCGACGCTGAGCTCGGGCAGCGTGCCAAGAGCTTCGTCGAGGGCCTCGACCTCGCCTTCGACTCGGTCGTCCTGGACGTCAAGGTCGACGGCGGCAATGGTTGCGGTGCCGCCCAGAACGTCGCCAGGCACGCCTCCCAAAAGGACTCGTTCTCCAGGAGGGACGTGGGTGACGACTGGAGCTACTGCGAAGAGCCGCCCGCTGGAGAGGAACAGGATCTTCCAGCACGGGCCCACGCAGGTGTTCGAGGATGCCCCTCCGGGCTGGTGAGGCACGGAGCTGCCGCCGGCGGACTGGCGGGGGGCGAGACCGCCTGGCCCGCCACCGTCCGCGGAGATGCAGCTGCGCAACGACCAGGAGGCGGAGCTCAATGCGGAGCTCCTCGCTTTGAGGCGCGCGGAGGTGACTGCGAAGGCGACGGACCGGTTGAGTTCCGACTTCGAGGAGGCGCAGCAGGCGATCGCAGCGAACAAGGGGAAGAAAAAGGACGAGAAGCGGGACAAGGACAGGCGCAAGAGGACTCGGGATGCACCGAGCTCAAGGGCGAGGTCTTGCTCCCGCGCAAAGAAGAAGGTGAGTATATCCAAGCAGGATATGAAGGCCAAGAGGGAGGGCAAGGGCAAGCGCTCTCGCAGGTCGCCGTCGGAGTCGGTGGAGAAGCGCTCCCAGTCGAACAAGCTGGGTGTGCCCATCGCCCGTGTCCAGGAGTGGAGGTGCGAGATGTGCAGGTACGTGACTTCGGGTTCAGGGAGACTTGCTGGAGGTGCAGTGCCCCGCCTCCACCCGAGGTCAAGAGGCTCCAGGTCCTGCGCACCGGGGAGCTGAAGGTGGACCCGGAGGAGGGGGAGCCAGCGGCGGCGTCAAAGAAGAGGCCGTCGGTGAGGGTTGTCAGGCAGTGGTGACTGGCGATGGCACCCAGCAGTACTTCGTTGGCATGCAGCAGGGGTCCCAGGTGGTCAAGGTCTTTGACTTCCTTGGCGGCGCCATGCCTGGCGCTGGCAGCATCGGCAAGAGCGGCATCACCGGCATCAAGGGCATCGGCCCGCACGAGGAGCAGGTCAAGGGCCACAACTTTTCACAGGGCATCGGCTCGGATGTGGAGTTGGCGCTGGGCTGCGACGTCGGCGTGGCGCAAGACAGCAACGGCAAGGATGTGGAGATCGGCATCGTGGAAGAAAAGGCCTTCTCGCTGGCGTGAACGAGCCTGGCATCGTTAAGGAAGTGTCGCTCGGCAGCGAGGGTTCGACGCACGTGGCGCTGGGCTTCGCCGCTAGCGATGTGAAGGACGGCGCCAGTTTCTCGGAGGATGCGGCGCTGGAGGACCTGGGGCCGAACCCCCAGGGAGGCGCAATTGGAATGGCAAAAAGCGTCTTCTCGGTCCTGTGCGGCGAGCTGGAGGTCGGCTCCGTCGTTCTGGTGCAGGAGCGCCCGTGCCAGGTCACCGAAGCCGCCAGCAAGAAGGTGAAGAAGGGGCGCGTGAAGCTTCGCATCGGCGTCGAGGACATCGAGTCTGGCATGAAGAGTGTTCTGGTTCGTGGCGTGGCCCAGAGCATCTAGTGCCCCTACGCCGAATGCATGGCCCTTGGCGCGGACCCTGTGGTGGCGCTGGATGGCGTCACGGGCGTCGACGACGAGGACAAACAGCTGCAGGTCGGCGGCGAGGGCCAGTCTGGGCTGCTTCAGGATGACGCCTGCGGAGCAGGCGTGGCGCACTCGTCCGAAGTCTCCGACACGCGGGAGGCCGTCAAGATGATGAAGGACGTGCTCTCCAGGCTGGAAGGGCTGAGCTTCGTCGTCCTCGAGGCCCTGAGTTGCTGCTCGCCTCGCCGCGGGCGGCTGTGAGCGGCGGTTGGCTCGGCTGGTTGGCGTCGCCTCGGCTGGATCCGCCTCTCTCGTTTTTGTTTCTGGGCACTGGCGTTTACTCGTCGTCACGTTGGGTGCCCCTCGTAATCCTGGTTGGGCATCGTGCCCAGCGCTCGCTCACCGTCGGCGTGGGCGCCGGCCTGCGCGCCAGGGCTGCCGAGACCAGGCGGCGGCCGCCGCCTCATCAGGACCTCCAGGACCCTCCTCCTCCTCCTCCTCCTCCTCCTCCTCCTCTCCTCCTCTCCTCCTCCTCCTCCTCCTCCTCCTTCTCCCCTTCCTCTTCTCCTCCTCTCCTCTCTCATCCTCCTACCTCCTCCTCGTCCCCACCTTCTTCCTCCTCCTCCTCCTCCTTTTCCTTTTTCTCCCTCCTCTCCTCCTCTCCCCCACCACGACGTCCACTTACTCCTCCCCCACCTCCTCTTCTTCCTCTCCTTCTCCTCCTCCTGAACTCCTCCTCCTTGCAACCTCCTCCTTCTCCTCCTCTCCTCCTCATTTTCCCCTCCTCACTCCCATTGCCATACTCCTTCACCTCCTCCTCCTCATCATCCTCCTCCGTTCTCCTCCTCCTCCTCCTTTTTGCCCTCCTTTTCCTCCTTCTCCTCCTCCTTCTCCTCCTCCTCCTCCTCCTCCTCCCCCTCTTCCTCCTATTCCACCTCCTCCTCATTATCCTCCTCCTCATTAGCCGCCTCCTCATCTTCACCATTCGGATCAGCACCATTGTCATCCTCATCATCATCAACATCAGCATCACCATCATAATCATCACTACCATCACCATCAGCCGCAACATCATCATCATCATCATCATCATCATCATCATCATCATCATCAGCATCATCATCCACATCAAAATCAGCAACACCACCATCATCATCATCACTATCGTCATGGGCAGCCGCCTCCTCATCTTCACCATTCGGATCAGCACCATTGTCATCCTCATCATCATCATCACCACCACCATCCGCATCATCACCATAATCATCATCAGCCTCGTCAGCATCAGCGTCACCATCCTCATCAGCATCATCATCAGCATCCCCGTCCTCCTCGTCCTCTTCATCCTCCCCCCCTCCTCCTCCTCCTCCTCCTCCTCCTCCTCCTCCTCCTCCTCCTCGTCATCTGCTCCTCTTTCTCCTCTGCAGGTTTTTCTTCCTCTCCTCTCCTTCTTCCTCCTCCTTCCTTCCTATGATCCCCCTCGTCATCCTCCTCCTCCTACTCTTCCTCTCCTCCTGCTCTCCTCCTCTCTTTCTCACTCAGCTTCCCTCCTCCCTCCTCCTCCTCCTCTCCTCCTCCTCATTCGTCCTCCTCCTCCTCCTCCTCCTTGTCTTCCTCCTCTTCATTCCCCTCCTCCCCTCCCTCCTCCCCCTCCTCCTTCACCTCCTCTCTCCTCCTTCGCTCCCTCTTTTTTTTTTTTTTTTTTCTTTTTCTCCTCCTTTCCGCCCCTCCTTCCCCTAACTCCCATCTCCTTCCTCCTCCTCCTACCTTCTTCCTCCTTTCCCTCCTTTCCTCCTCCTTTTCCTCTTCATCCTCCTTCTCCTCCTGCTCCTCCTCCTCTCCTCCTTCTCCTTCTTCTCCTCCTTCTCCTCATCCTCCCCCTCGTCCCTCCTCCTCCCCTCCTCCTCTCCTCCTCCTCCTCCCCCTTCCTCCTCCTCCTCCTCCTCCTCCTCCTCCTCCTCCTCCTCCTCCTTCTCCTTCTCCTCCCCCTCTTCCTCCTCCTCCTCCGCCTGGCACCCATTCTATGGTGTCAGCGCCACTCATTCCTCGGGGCAGACTGGCAGGATTTTGCATCCGCGGGCAGGGTGAGCGGCTACCGGCCTTTCTTGTCGGAGGCTGAGGGTGGACGTTGTGAAACCTGTATCGGCGGGCCGACCGCAAGGCGTCCGTCGTTGGGTGTAGCACGGCCCTCGGTCTCTGTGTGGATCGCAGCGGGACTAGGCCTGGGGGTGGACGTTGCGAAACCTGTATCGGCGGGCCGACCGCAAGGCGCCCGTCGTTTGGTGTAGCACGGCCCTCGGTCTCGGTCCTGCTGGCGGCGGCGTCAGCCAGGCGCCTGGGTTGCTATTCCCACGTGGTCTGGCTCCCAGGGATGTGCGTTTTCCGTGAGAGGTGGTGGCATGTGCCACGTAAATCCGTTCGGGCCTTTTGTCCACTCACGGCTGGGGCTGTTTGCGTCAGGCAGACCCCAGAACGCACTGCCAATCGTCCCGGCAGGGTGGCCTGAGGCCCCCAACGCACCATGTCGGGTCGGTTGGGCCGCGAGTCGTCCGGCGCCAAGGGGCAGCTCCCGTACCCTGACCCGCGTGAATTTCTCCTGATGCGTATTTGCGGCGCTGGCCCGGGCAACTTGGGCTGGTGACCCTTATACATTCCTACATTCCTCCTCCTCCTTCTCCTCCTCCTCCTCCTTCTCCTCCTCCTCCTCCACCCCCTCCTCCTCCTCCTCCTTCTCCTCCCCGTTCCCCTCCTCATCCCTTTCTCCCCCTCCTGCCCCTCATCCTCCTCTTGCTCCTCCCCCTCCTCCTCCTCCTCCTCCTCATCACCATCACCCTTGCAATAAGCATCAGCATCATCACCATGATCAGCAGCATCATCACTGGCAGCAGCGTCATCATCATCATCATCATCATCATCATCATCATCATCATCATCATCATCATCATCATCATCATCATCATCATCATCATCATCATCTTCATCATCATCATCATCATCAGCATCATAAGCATCAGCATCAGCATCATCATCCTCCTCATCATCATCATCGTCATCGCCATCATCATCATTATCGTCATCATCATCATCATCAACAGCATCATCATCACCACCGCTATCACCATCATTAGTTTCATCTTCGTACTCGTACCCATCATCATCACCACGCGCATCAGCCGCATCATCATCAGCGCCATCACCGTCATCAACACCAGCATCATCAACATCGCCGTCCGCATGATCAGCAGCATCAACATCAGCATCAGTCTTATCAGCATCGTCATGATCATCATCGTCATCGCCCCCCTCCTCCGCCTCCTCCTCCTCCTCCTCCCTCCTCCTCATCACCATCATCAGCATCATCTTCATCATCATCATCATCACATCGTCATCCCCCTCCTCCTTATCCTCATCCTCATCCGCCGTCCTCCTCCTCCTCGTTCCTCCTCATTCATCTCTCCTCTCCTCCGACTTCCCCTCCTCCTTTTCTCTCCTCTCCCTCCCATCCTCTCCTCCTCATCATCATCTCCTCGTCCCCTGCTTCTCCTACTCCCGCATTATTCTGCTGTTCTCCTCTTCTTATCCCCCTCCTCTCCTCCTCCTCCTCCTCCTCCTCCTCCTCCTCCTCCTCCTCCTCCTCCTCCTCCTCACTCTCCTCCTCCTCCTCCTCCCCCTCCTCCTCCACAATTACACAATATGAAAATACTCTCCCACTTCCCCTGATGGCGTCCCGAAGATATCCGACCCCCCCGCGTACTGTTTTTTACACACAAGATTCCCGGAAAACGGGTTTTCGCATGCGTTTTTGTTCGAAATGTTGCTCTCGCTGAGGCGCCGGCCTCATTTTTTGCTCCCGAATCGTTCCGAATCGTGCTCCCGCTGCAGCGTGGGCCTCATTTTCGGATCGGTGTTTGGCCTCCGTCGTTCAGGATGGCGTTCTCGCCCCAGCGCGGGCCTCTTTCTCGCGCGCCCATCCGCCCGCCACCACCGCACCGCACCACCACCACCACCACCACCACCACCACCACCACCACCACCACCACCACAC